CCTAGTGCACTGTTGGTGGGATTGCAGACTGGTACAACCACTCTGGAAAACAGTAGGGAATTTTCTCAAAAAACTAAAAATGGATCTGCCTGTTGACCCAGCAATTCCACTGCTAAGATTATATCCTAAGAACCCTGAAACACCAATCCAAAAGAACCTATGCACCCCAATGTTCATAGCAGCACAATTTAAAATAGCCAAGTGTTGGCAGCAACCTAGATTCCCACTAGTAAATGAATGGATCAAAAAAACTATGGTACATTTACAGAATGGAATTCTATGAAGCAGAGAGAAAGAAGGAGCTCCTACCCTTTGCAACAGCATGGATGCAACTGGGAAGCATTATGCTAAGCGAAATCAGCCACGCAGTCAAAGAGAAATACCATATGGTCTCACCTTTAAGAGGAACCTAAAGAACAAAACAAAGAAACAAGCAAAATATAACCAAAGACACTGAAACAGAGAACAGTCTGACAGTGTTCAGAGGGGAGAGGAGAAGGAATTTCAGGCAAAAAGGGGAAGGTTTTGCAGGAACAAGTATAAAGGAAACATGGTTAAAAACTAGGGGCGGGTGGAACTGGGAGGGAGGAGGGGAGGGCTGGGTGGGTGGGTTGGGATGAGAGTAAAAGATGGAAAATTGTACTGCAACAACAATTGAAATAAAACATTAAAAAGAAAAAGGAAAATGGTAACAAAACTACAGTGACATGTTACCTCTTACCTCTGAAAGACAAATGAGATATGTTAGAGAGGATGTGGGGAAAAAAGGGAACCTTGGTATGCTGTTGGCAGAACTGTAAATTTGTGAAGCCACTAAGGAACAGAGTATTGAAGGCATCTCAAAAAATTAAAAATATAACTACCCAGCAATTCCATTTCTAGGTATTTATGTAAGGCAAAGAACACTACTTAAAGAGATTATATTACCCCTATGTAATTGCAGCATTATTTACAATAGCCAAGATATGGAGACAATCTCTGTCAGTGGATAAAGAAAATGTGATCTATGTATGTATACATACAGGTAAAGATATAGATACACATAATAGAATATTATCCAGTCATAAAAAGAATAAAATCTTGCATTTGCAACAACATGGATGGACACTGAGGGCCTTGTGCTAAATGAAATACATCAGAGACAATACCATATGATCTCACTTGCATGTGGAATTCAAAAACAAAACAAAAAACAAGTTTATAGATGTAGAGAACAGATCCGTGGTTGTCAGAGGCATGGGGTGGGAGGTGTGAAATGGGTGAAGGTGGTCAAAAGTTACAAGCCCTCAGTTACAAAGTGAGTCATGGGAATGCAATGTACAGCATGGTGACTGCAGTTAACGATAGTGTATTGCCTATTTGGAAGTTGCTAAAACAGTCAATCTTAAAAGTCCTCATTATAAAAAAAATTTGTGTAACTCCATATGGTGACAGATGTTAACTAAGTGTAGTGATCATTAGGTAATATACACAGATATTGAGTCATTATGATGTATACCTGAAACTAACAATGTTGTATTTCAATTACACCTCAATAATAAAAAAGTAATTTAAAAATAGCAGTTCATATTGCTATTTTTATGTTTCTGTCTGCCGTGGTATGAAAACCATTTTTCTGATTATAAGGATTATTAATTAAATATGTATTACATATTCCCACTTTTCCCAGTAACTCCTTGAAGCAATGTAGCTAACTACTAATCCCAGATAGGCAGAATTTTTCATTTGGTTCAATAAAAATCATTTTGTTTTTTTCCTTCATCTCACAGCATAGATCAAGTCAAAACAAGCTTGTATATTTTTTAAAAAATGTGAGATCAAAAACTTTCAGCATATGTATTGGATCAATGCCATTTTTAAGCTCTGTTATTTCACGAACTTCAAGAAATAATAGAGTATATTACCAGATTTATAGTTCAGTAAAATTCTTCTATCACTTAGAGCTGATAAACATTGGATTAAAAGTTGAGTAACCCAATGTGTACACATATGTATCCTACAGATATACATATGTGTATGTGTATATATATTTATCATAAAATCAGTGTTGAGATTAGTGGTAACTGAACCAGGAAAATTTATAAATAATTTAAATAAAATGTTTTTACTGTGGAATATATTTAAACCATTTATCTTAAAATTCAGAAGCATAGATGTGTTATAGAGTAAAAAGCATGCTTGAAATTAATTTCTGCAAACTTATCTGAATTGTGCATAATACATTAAAACTATCATAACAATCCACATAAGTAGTATTTCCTTCACTCTCCTTCATGAGCACATTTTACACATTTTACTACTCCTTTTATCACTTTTTCTCTAAGGAAATTTCCGTACTTAATTGCTCTGCAAAATAAGGATGTGTCCCAAAGATGTCTACTTCATAATGCTCAGAACATGAACATGTTTGGTAACAGCAAGGAATTAAGGTAGCAGATGGAATTCAGGTTGCTAATCAGGTGATTTCATGCTAGGAAAGTTTACCTGGATTATCAGGGTAGGCACAATCATGCAACCACAAGAGTCCTTAAAAGTGGGAGAGAGGAAAAACAGTATGTGAGATGATGCCATATGAAGAGGACTCGCTCTGACCTGCTGTTGCTGGTTTTGCAGATGGGAGATTGCAGGAGGCCTGTAGAAGTTAGGAAACTATAAGGGAGTGGATTCTCCTCTAAAATTTCAACAAAATGTGGCCCTGTTGATACTCGATTCCAGCCCAGTGACAGCCAGTCAGGTCCTAACTTACAGAACTACAGGACAATAAAATTGTGTTAAGTCCCTAAATTTGTGGTAAATTGTTATAAGAATAGAAAACTTACACACTCTGTACAGTATTAAATAAAGCATACTTTTCTTATAAACGAAAGTGAAAATGTGTATACGGAAGTCTTAAAAGCTGCAAAGCATTTTATCATGAAAATACAAACACATTTTCATTATGTCCTGAGGGGAAAGTTGAGGGAAAAAAAGATTCTAGTGTAAACATACACTGTACTCTACAGTCTGCTATAGTTCTTCATACCTCTTGAATTTCAGAAATGTTCACTGTGAAGATGATGTATTTTCATGATACAGTTGAAACTTTGAGAACTACACCAGAATTTGAATTGTATGGGGTCAGGACAGTTTTGGGGGTCTATCACTAATGAAAGGGTATTTGAATGGGCTAAACATTGTCCATTGTCAGATTATCTCTTTTAGCTAACTTTCTGCTTTATTAAAATTTATTTATATGTAGTGAGTATACAATATTATATATCAGGTGTACACTCTAATGATTCAATATTTATATACCTTACAATGTAATCACCACATTAATTCTAGGAATCATCTGTCACCATGCCAATTTTTCAGTTATTGACTCCATTCCTGTTCACCATTTGCCCTGTGTCGCCACTTCCCTCCCTGCTCTGTCTCTGGAAACCATCAGTTTGATTTCTGCTTCTGAGTCTGTTTTTGTTATTTTTTTTTAGATTCCACATACAAGTGAAACCATGCAGTATTTGTTTTTCTCTGACATTTCAGTTAGTACACCTTCTAGGTCCACTGTGTTATTGCAAATTGCAAAACTTCTTGCTTCTGAGAGAATTTGGAAAAGGATTTAGCCTCAGAATAATAGCTAATATTTACCGAGCATTTACTAAGTTATACTGAGTGGTTTTGATACATCATTTGTTTCTCATAACAATCCTTTGAGAACAGTACTATTATAACTTCCATTCTAAAGAAAAGAAAACAAGCATAGGGACATTAAATAATCAGTTGGAGGTTGTTCGGTAAACATGATAGCCTTCTGTTTTAAAACAGGCATTCTGACTCTAAAACTCACTTAGTCATTACTCTAGGCAGAACCTGTATTATTTCAGTTCTTTTACACATATGGGACAAGCTTAGAGAAATTAGGTAATTTGCCCAAGACCACAGAGGTATTAGATACTAGGTCAATGATTCAAACAAGGTTGGTTTGATTCCTATGTCAGTGATTTTTCACTACACTCTCCTTTACAATTCTCCAGAAGTGAGCAAGTATACTAAGGAATACCTATGGCCTGTATCTCCAATAGCTCCACTCGTCTGTAGTTACAATGTCAATGCTTATAAATAGCATGGTGCATAACTGTTTTAGTAAGAAAGATCCATATGAAGTCATATTAAGATTTAAAAGTCAAGAGTGGTGGTAAATCCTGATATACTTTGGGAAATTTAAGTAACCACATAAAGTTTTCTTTGATTATTAATGCTGATTTAATAGAATTCCATGTTATTTCATACAGTATTTTTTCATAGTTTGAAGAACCTGTAGGACTTTAGGGTTGGACAGAATTTCTGATAAGATTTTTTAATAAGGTATGGAGTTTTGATCTGTTGAGCTACTTAAATGAAGTTGTTAATCTATTGCAAAACTTTCCTTCTTTATCAGAACTTAACTGTCTTTGTGGATAACACATATATAACCATTTTACCTTTGTGGAATGGGTTTCATTATCCTTGCCATATGTGATATTTTGGGAATACAAGCTTCTTCAATATTGCTTTTTAATGTCTGAAGAATACTGGGAACAACTGTCATTCTTGTTGAATCTCTAAAATAGGCAACACAAAGATAATTGTTTTAAATCTCCCCTCTCATTAAATATATCCAAAAAGCATATATATTGTCACTGTGGATGTCCAGGCAGTTAGACAACTTATGTACACAACTTAAGAGAACCTAGTAACTTTCCAACTGTATAGCTTGGCAACTTGATTGTTCATGAGACATGTCCTAGCAAATGCATATTGTGAGTTCCTTTCTTTGCTTAAAATTATACTGTTACATAAGTATCTGAAATCAATTATATGTGTCTTCATTTTGGAGTAACAAAAGTGAATGCCAAAAGACAAAGAATACTTAATAAGATGCACTATAACAAAAAAGAATGAGTTTAAACAAAGGCATATAAGATACATGTGTACTCTTAGCTCAACCTGTCTTGTTTTTTGTTTTTTTTTCCTAATAGGCACATCATCTTTGCTCCAAGTAGGCACAACAAATATGCTGGTGAATCATTTCCCGGGATCTACGATGCTATGTTTGATATTGAAAATAAAGCAGACCCACGTTCAGCCTGGAGAGAAGTAAAGAAACACATTTCTATTGCAGCCTTTACAATTCAGGCAGCGGCAGGGACACTGACAGAAGTGGTGTATTAAGGTCTCTGCCAAGTGGAGCTATTCATTAGAAGTCTGGAAGTCTGAGGATAAAAATCCATCTTCATATTTTGATTTTAGAGTTCCACCTTGTTCACCTGAAAAGTTTTTTTGGCTCTTTAAAAATGTGTAACTTTATCACCAAAGTGTTAATCTAATAAAATAAAACAAAAAACTCCAGTCATATGTCAGGTTAACTGAAAATTCCCTAAAGTGAAGGATGGCAAGGAACTTGCTCTCAGACATTGCTGGAAGAAGTGTAAAATGGTATAACCACTTTGGAAAACAGTTTGGCAGATCCTTATACAGTTAAACACATACTTATTCTATGACTTGAAAATTCCACTTCTAAGTATTTGCTAAAGCACAAGTGGCAAACACAAGGTCCATGGGCCGAATCCAGGTCTCCACCATGTTTTATCTGGCCCAGCACCTTGTTTCTACTCAGCAGCAGCACCAAGCTCTCGCTTAACATAGTTACATTTATATAGTCCTAAAATTACATTTGGCCCTTTGAAGGCAACCATGAAGCTGATGTGGCCCCCAGTGAAATTGAGTTTGACACCCTTGTAAGAGAAGCGAAATACGATCATAAAAAGACTCTCATATGTATGTTCCTAGTACCTTAAAGTGGATGAATGCAAAGGATGAATGGGTAAAATGTGGTATATCCACAATGCAATACTACTTATCAATGCAAATGAAATAACTGCCAATACATGTAACATTATTGGCAGATATTATTAAGGAAAAGAAGCCAGACACAAATGAATACCTAGCATATCATTCTATTTATATGAAGAAGAGGCAAAGCTAATCCATGGTGTTAGAAATTAGTTGTGTCAGTGATTGCCTGGAGCAAGGGGCAGGGGGGAAATTGGCTGCAAAGAAGCATAAGGACACTTTCTGGGACAATGGGGCATTTCTGTATTGTGATGTGAGTCATGGTTACACAACTGTATACATCTGTTAAACCTCATCAAACTGTAAACTTAAAATGTGTGAAAATTTACCTCAATAAATGTGATTACATCCTTACCTCAAAAAAGAGAAAAGAAAGTCTGGCAGGGAAGCCAGTAATAGTACACCTCTAGTGAAATCACTGTGAAGTACAAATCATAAGGAAAAATGAATAATACACATACTTTTAATGACTTTACCTCTAGTGAATAATGTATAAGTATGATAGGTAAAGAAAATATTTGCCACAAATCTTCATAATCTGGCTTCTAAAAATGTATATCAGCATCTGTAAACTTTTATGTAGAGTCTCAGATTTATGGGTAAACTAACAAAAGCTTCAACAACCTTGGATGTTCAATAAGCCAGAGTTGAGAATTAAAAATTTAAAAAGCCATTATAAGCAGGAACACTAAGTAAAATAAGAAGTGACCACACAAAATTTGCAAGAAGAAACTACCCTTGCTATCCTTGCTTACTAATCAACAACACATTTTTTAAAAAATCCTCACCCAAGGGCATTTTTCCATTGCTGTTAGAGAAGGAAGAAGGGAGAGAGAAACATCAATGTGAGAACATCAGTTAGTTGCCTCCAGTATGTGCCCAGACCAGGGATCAAACCCACAACCTATATATGTGCTCGGATGGGGAATCAAATCTGCAACCTTTTTGGTTTATAGGACAAGGCTCCAACCAACACAGCCACAATGGCCAGGGCACCAACGAAACAATAAACTGGGAGTATTTAGTTTAGGGACAAACATTTCCTACATATCTCAAAATTACCAGAGGGTATCTCACTGATTCTCCATGAAAAACACAAGTGGAGAATAACACAATAATGTAACAAATAATGTGATTCTGCAAGAGTAGTTCTGAAAAGAAAGTTAAAAGTGATACATATTAAGAAATTAGATCTCAAAGGAAGTAGAAAAGAAGAATAACAACCTCAAAGTTAGCAGAAGGAAGGAAATAATAAAGATCAGAGTGCAAATGAATGCAATAGAGGTCAGAAAAAAATTCAAAGAATCAATGAAGCTGAAAGTCAATTCACTGAAAATTTAAAAATGATGAATCTTTATAAGTCCAAGAAAAAAACAAGACTCAAAATTAGAAATGAGAACAAACAACTGGTACTACAAAAACACATAGGACCATAAGAGACTACAGTATTATGAAAAATCATATGCCAGCTATTAGATAACCTAGAAGAGATGGATAAAATTTCCAGAAACACAACCTAACAATACTGAATCCAAAAGAAATAGAATATCTGAACAGACTACTAATGGGCAAAGAGATTCAATCAGCAATCTAAAGCTTCCCAACACCGAAAACTCCAGGAGAGATGGTTTGCTGGGAAAGTCTACCAACACTCAGAGTTAAGACCCATCCTTCTCAAACTTTTCCAGAACTTTGAGGAAGGGGGAATTTCAAACTTATTCTTTGAGGGCAGCACTATCCTGATACCAAAGCCAGATAAGGATAAGAAAACCATAAATCAATATCCCCGATAAATAGATAGAATTCTCAACAAAATATTAGCAAACTGAATTCATGAACAAATAAAAAGGGTTACACAGCTCGTATTGCTTGCAAATTTGCTGAGCTGAAGAAGATTGATTGTTGCTCTGGGAACAAGCTGGAAGATAGCCCAGAGTTTCTGAAGCATGGTGATGTTGCCATTGTTGATATGGTTCCTGGAAAGCCCGTGTGTGTTGAGAGCTTCTCTGATCATCCTCCTCTGGGCTGCTTTGCTGTTCATGACATGAGACAGACAGTTGCTGTTGGTGTCATCAAAGCAGTGGACAAGAAGGCAGCTGGAGCTGGCAAAGTCACCAGGTCTGCCCAGAAATCTCAGAAGGCTAAGTAATATTATCCCCAACACCTGCCACCCCAGTTTTAATCAGTGGTGAAGAATGGTCTCAGAACTGTTTGTCTCCAATGGCCACTTAAGTTTAATAGTAAAGGACCGGTTAATGATTAAATGCATTGTAAAACCTTCAGAAGGAGACTGTGGACCATTTAGCTTTTTCATGTGTGGCAGTTTTTAAGTTATTACTTTTTAAAATCAGTATTTTTTAATGAAAACAACTTGACCAAAATCTGTCACAGATTTTTGAGACCCATTAAAACAAAGTTTAATGAGAAACCTGTGTGTTCTTTTGGTCAACATTAACTTTCTTTTATATTATTAAGGTTAAAAGACTTAAGAGTAGCCCATTACCTATTTCTGGTGTTATATTTGCTGATGACTCAGAATTGGATAAATCTGTTGTTGTTGTTGTTGTTTTTTCCTGTGTGGGAACTTTTTTTTTTCACTTTGTCCAAGGGGAGAAATCTGTTTACACAGTAAAAGCTGTAGGAGGGGCTCTGGTGCAACACTGAATAGGTTAGGACAGATGAAGTAACTTTTCATGTGTAAGCTAGCTTATAAAGGCCAAATTCTGGTATATTAAGACTACATGTTTCACATAAAAATTTTGTAGTTGCCCTAGCTGGTGTAGCTCAGTGGATTGAGCGTGGGCTGCGAACCAAAGTGTCGCAGGTTCGATTCCCAGTCAGGGCATATGCCTGGGTTGCAGGCCATGACCCCCAGCGACCACACATTGATGTTTCTCTCTCTCTCTTTCTCTCTCCCTTCCCTCTCTAAAAATAAATAAAGTATTTAAGAAAAAAAAAGAAAATGTTAAAAAAAAATTTTGTAGTTAACAATATTGAGTAAATTTGTTATGTCAAATTCTAGTTTCCATTTTTACTAAAATGTGAATTCATGTTTACAAATGATGAGCTAGTTTAAAGAACTTAAAATGCTGCTTAAATAGTATTGAGCACTGTCCTGCTACAGTTATTGTATCTAGATTCTAGGAAAAGTAAATGATACTGGAAGTTGGGGGAAAAAAAAGGGTTACACATCAAGACCAAAAGGGACTTATCCCTGCAATGCAAAGATGATTAACATATGCATATCAATAAATGTAAAACATCACATTAATAAAATAAGAGATGAAAATCACGTATTTCAACAGATGTAAAAGAAATCATTTAACAAAATATAACAGCCTTTTATGATGAAAAACCTCAGGAGAGTGCATAAAGAAGAAACATACCTCAACATAAGGACCAAAAATGACAAACCCATAGCTGAGATAATACTCGATGGAGAAAAAATGGAAAGCTTTTTCTCCAAGATATGAGACAGGATGAAGATGCCCATTCCCACTACCCTTATTGAATACAGCATTGAAAGTGCTAGCTCCAACAGTTAGGCAAGAGAATGAAATAAAAGGCACACAACTGGTAAGGAAGAAGAAAACCTGTCACCATCGACAATAAGATTTTGTATACAGACAATCCCAAAGGCTGAACCAAAAAAACCCCCCAAAAACTGTTGGAAATAATCAATGATTTCCATAACGTTACAGGACACAAAATTAACATACAGAAATCAATTACATTTCTACACAGTAAAGAAGAAACATATTAAAAAGAAATAAACCAATCCTACTCACAATAACATTAAAAACAATAAAATCCTTTACCCAAACAGAAAAACTGATCCTTTTTTCAAATAGAAAAAAATCCATTCATCACCCAAATAGAAAAAAACAATCCTAAAATTTGTATGGAACCACAAAAGTCCCCCAAAAGCCAAAGCAATCCTGAGGAGAAAGAACAATGCTAGAGGTTATCACACTTTCTGTACTCCAAAACTACAGCAATAAAAACAGTTTGACATTAGCAAGAAAAACAGACACAAATGGAATAGAATAGAGTTCAGAATTAATCCCTGCTTATGTGGTCAACTAATGTCTGACAAAGGAGCCAAGAGCATCCAATGGGGAAAGAA